CTCCCCGTACAAATACAGAATTGCATACTTAACAACTTAACGCCTGTTATTTTTATGGCTTAGATTGTGTTACATCTCCGGCTAGTTCCATCAAAAAGAATATTGATATTAATTGATTGTTGAATATTGATAATCGTAAACTTGTAATTGGGTCGGCTGTTCTACGCCAGTTATAAAATAAAATATTTCATGAAGTTCATAGTACGAAGATTTCATTTAAAATCAGCCATCTGTACTTTAAATATCTAAAATATTCAAACAAGTTATTCCTATTTCATTTTAAAGCTCGTGCATTTCACGATTATCTCTTCTGCCAAACTAAGGACCACGTGATTGTCAAAGCAGTTATATCAATAAATTCTTCAGACTTAAGGACTCCTAATATCTTAAAACGAACAATGAATTTGGCCCACTATTCAAATAACGACTTCATATAACACGTCAAATGTTAAAGTATAACACGCATTAAACGCAAAAAAGAACATGTAAAAAGTTAAAATATAAAAGATAAATTAAGTTCACGTAAAAGTAAAGTTAAGAATTGTGAAATAAATTTCGACAGAGGATTAAAAAATGTTCAATGCAATGTTCAAAAATTCGCATTTTTCATAAGGTACAGATAGTTTATTAATTCTTAGAATAGGACATACGTTGTCTTCTTATTTCTGAATTCATACAATTAATTCCGTCTACCTTCAGTATAACTAGTATCAGTATCAAACCATTTCACTTTAGACTTTCAAATCTGAAAAAATTATCAGAAATGAACAAGTGGCTCGAAATATTTTTGCCTGTTGTTACCTTTCCTATGAAATAGAATTAATAACAAATTAATACACGCATATTAGATTTGAGTTATTAAAATTTGTTCGCAATGAATTGTTGACTGATTTTTAAATTATTTGGGGAGCTAATTTAAGATATGGGTATTAATTTATTTTTTCATTAAAATTAGGATCATAATGGCACGATCATAACGGAACATTTTTATATTTACGAGCAGCAAATTGCAAACAGCTTCTTTACAAAAATCAAGTTGAATAATAATTAAATTAAATTATCTAAAACTAATGTTTTTCATAACTTATTTTACAAAAAAATTTTTTTCTCATTATAAATTATATAAAGCTAAGTTTTACAAGTGCATTTAACAATAATATAAGTGTTTTTTTTAAGGCAGGAGGAGGCAGATTCTATAATCTCTTCTTTCATTTGATTTGCTTAAAAATTTAATAGAAGTTCTTATACCATTTTTGTCACTTCCATAAAATTATGAGGTTTTTTAATTTTTCTCAAAAATATTAAAAGAAATAATTAATTGATCAGATACATTAAACATAGCAAAATTCCTAACAGGAAATGTTTTCTATTTATATATATTTTTTAACAATATTAAATTAAACCAATTAAAATTCAAGTAGTTATTGAATCTGTGATAGTGAAAATCGTTGCTTCAATAAAACTTTATTTAAATTACTCCATACATATACGACTCAATAGAAAAATTTGCTTTATCATTATTGTTTTTATAATAAGAAAAAAAGTATGGTCTAAGGAAGAAAAAAAAAGCTCAGTATTTTTTACCAAAGCGTTTTGGTTATGATATTGGTAAATTAGCAACTAAATATAGTTTTATAATATGTGATAAAATTTGGTAATTTTATCATTATATCTTGGCATGGCATTAAAATCCTTTATTCAGTTAAATTTACTTTTTAGTTTTGTATTCTTTACTGAATATGTAGTAATAAGAACTATGATTTTAAAAACCAGAATTTCTGTTAAACCGTTCTTATATGACGGAAAAACTACTAAATAATTGATTTAAATGCCACATATTTTGTTTTTATTAACCAGAATTATGGGGTTTTTTTTAATCAGCAATGTCATTACTAGAGCCCGGATTTTGATGACCTAAAAAATCTCAATTAATGCCCTTAAAAAGTGCAAAAAATGCCCTTAAAAGTGCAAAAAATGCCCTTAAAATGCGAAAATTGCGCTAAAAATGCCTTATGACATGACTTAAATGGAGTGTGATATGGCCTTTACTCTTTAAAATTATTATGAGTCGTTTCAAAAAATATAAAGCAATGCAATNCGGAAAAATTACTAAATAATTGATTTAAATGCCACATATTTTGTTTTTATTAACCAGAATTATGGGGGTTCTTTTAATCAGCAATGTCATTACCATTCAGAGCGGTAATTTTACCGGAGTTGTACGCCAGTTATTTTATCACTGCTAATTATTAAAAAAGAAACTTATAGACGTCCATCATGTAGATCTGTTATCCGCATACAAATCTTTTTTAAAATTTATTTTAAAAATAGGAAAACTACAGAATTACATACATAACAAATTAACATCTGTTATTTTTATCACAATTAAGTATTATAAAAAAATTATCGACATACATTAAAATTTTTTAATTTGTTCTAAAAATACGAAAACTACAGGATTGCATACCTAACAACTTAACGCCTGTCATTTTTATCACAGTTAACTACTATTAAAAAAATCATCGACGTCCACCTCAGTGACTCATTATCCGTTTGTTAATTTATACATACATATCGTTACATGCCGTTATACATATCGGTTTTTAATTTATTCTAAAAATAAGAAAACTACTGAATTGCATACCTAACAATTTAGCACTTGTTATTTTTATCACAGTTAACTGTTGTAAAAAATAAAGACGACCATCACTGTGATCCATTATTGGTATACAAATCTTTTTTTAATTTATTCCAAAAATAAGAAAACTACAGAATTGCATATCCAACAACCTTACGCCTATTACTTTTATCACTGCTAAGTATTATAAAAGAAAATTACCAATGTACATGGTGCTAATCCATTTTCCTTGTATAAATCACTTTTAATTGTTTCTAAAAATAAGAAAACTACAGAAGTGCGTATCTAACAACTAAACGCGTTATTTTTATCACTCCTAGTAATGTTGAAAGAAAGTTATCGAAGTTCATCGTAGTGATCCATTCTCAACGTACAATTTTTTTTTTTAAATTTATTCTGTAAACACCAAGAAAACTACAGAATTACATACTTAACAACTTAGCGCCAGTTATTTTTATCACTGCTAACTATTATAAAAAAATTATCGACGTTTACCTATGGCGGTGATCTTAACTAATTTTCCTTATAGGATAACGACCATGTGCAGAAAGATTCAAAAATAGCCTTTTTTAATCCAAATGAATATTTCTTTCTGATGCAATTGCTATTTTTCCTGAAAATTTTTCAGCTTTCTCAAGTGTGTGGCAATACCACTTTTTTGTCCTCCTTGCTTGCTTAAAATTAGTTGCCTGCGAATACCACTTTAAATTAATTTCTGCTAATTACTGCTACAACTATGATAATTACAAATCTTTTTAAATTCTTTCAAAAATGACCCGAAATTCAACCTGGATTGGGAAAGGTCGCTTGACGACCTTGTGAGAAATATGGGCGTGACGTTACCTAATTAAATGTAGCAAGATCAAGATCAAATATATTCAAATTACTTTCTATATTTTTCTTGCTTCAAGTAGGTATATAAACTGTCGTTCGATTGATTCAGAATCATTCAAGCTCTCCAGTTCCGAAGTTTATCTTTTCTTTAGAAAAATATTCTTAATCATACAACATGATGTTCAAGGTAAGATTTATCATGATAAAAAAAATGGATTCTTAAAATACGTAATTAAATGGTCTAAAATAATAAATTTAATGAATAATTTCAAAGATAGCAATTAGCCTTCAGTTTGCTTACTATAGTTTGCCTACTTAGCTTACTATATTCGCTGGTTTGCGCAATATTTTCATAAACTAAAATGTCAAGTTTTAGGCAGAAACGATTCATAATTTTTCTTAACCCTCTGACTCTTTAGTTATGAAATACAGCCTCGTACACCTAAGTCCTTTTTTCGTTAACGGAAAAATTTTTCAAACATGACTTACTTCCAAACTATAGTTTTTTAAACTTGCACTTATTTGCAATAATTTAGATCTTAGATAAACAATTGTTCATCATTAAAATTTCTTTAATTTACAAATTCAATAACTAATAAATTGTTAATTACTGATATTTCAATTACTGATGAAATTCAATTACTGATAAATTTTCAGAATAAAAATTAATTTAAACTACTTTCTTTTGATTTTACATTTTAGAACAAATATAATTCCAAGAATCTAACAGATTTTTTTAGTAACTATTAGATTTTTTATAATTAAAAATACCAAAATATATTTTTACTTCTAATTAGAGAGTCAGAAAAAATATATATATATAAGAGACACCGGTGTTCTATCTACGCCAAAGGGTTAAAGTAATTATTTTGGACTACAATTTTTTGAAATATTGCTGCCATTCAAAGTTTTCTTCTTTAAAAATAATTTTAACAGGTTTTTTTTTTTTTCAAATTTTATTATTTTCATTTCTCATTTGAAAGATTCGAAAAGAATATTCGTTGCATTCTTTTTGTATTCATATAAAAAAAATTTCATTTATTAACATAGGCTTTAATACACGGACATAAAAGGAAAACAAATGTATGAAAGTGACTCAAGTTTTGATCAACATTTAGTATAGCGTTATTGAATTAATTAATATATTTTTACTTGTAATTGGAGCTTTGGAAAAAATATATATTTAAGGGAGACCGGTGTCCCATCTTTGAAATAGGGTTAAAACAATTTTTAGATAATAAATTTTAGAAATATTACTGCAATTAAAAGTTTCCTTCTTCAAAAATAATTTTAACTGCTTTTTCAAGGTTTATTTTTATTTCTAATTGGAAAGTTTCGAAAAAAAATCCGTTACTTTCTTTTTGTATTCCTGTAAAAAAAGTTTCATTTGTAAAAGTAAATTTCATTTACATATGCTTCAATACATAGACATAAAAAAAAATTGTATGAAAATGATTCAACATTTGATCAGCATTTAATATAACATAACTGATTTAATTATTAATGAAAAAAAATATTTTTCTTACAGGCTCTTCTTATCGCCTCCCTTGCCGCCGTTGCACTAGCACAATACGGCTATGGTCACGCCCCTGCATACGGTCATCATGATGACTACGTAAGTTTACTTTATGATTTTCATTCCATGTTTCTTGAATTTATTAAAAAATATTTTATAATCCGTAAGATTTTTAATAAGTTTTAATTATATTTCAAATGTACATTGCGGACGTTGATAAGCTTTAGACATAAAGAACTGAAAAAAATCTCTATATTTAAATTTTAAAGCTAGTCTGCACTTTGCTAGTATAGTTTTTCACAGTTTTAAAGCAGAAAAATTTTACTTACACTAATTCAAAAATTTCAAATTTCATTTTCCAATTTTACTTTATTTGAACATTATATTTTTAAAGATGTGAAAAAATATATTTTTTTTAATATTAGCTAAAAAAAGAGTTAAAGGTTGTTGAAAGAAAAATAGAAGAGTTGAGTATTAGTGTAGAGTGTTTTTTCTTAAGTAACGAGTAAAATACAAGTACAAGAATAAAAGTACCGAGTTTTTAACAGAAAGTACAGTTCCAGAAAAGCAACGAATGAAAAGTTAAAATACAATTATAACAAATGCATTTACATACTGAGAAGTAAGAATCGATTCACAGAATATGATAATATTTACCGTGTTTCTGGCTCTATGGGAACACCAGAAAGCTCGATAATTTTTACTGAAGCGGTATGATAATAATTCGCAAGTGTTCTTATCAAATATTTTTCATATCGTAACTTACATTTTTTTTAATTTACTTGTAATGATTTTTTCTTTTTACTCTATCAAAAATTACAGGTCACATAATAACGGTATATTTGTATTGGCACATTTTGTGCATCATTCATAAAATCCATTTTATCTTAAAATCCATTTTACCCGTTCCATTTTTCAGAAAATGTATCTTAATTTTTATAATAATATTTATTTAACTAGAGTGATTCAATAATTTCACGAAAGATATTACTCTAAAAATTTAGTTATATCAGATTTTTTATTCAGTAATATGTTCCAGTAGCAATGAACTTTACGGTAAAAAGTATTGACACCTTCAGTGTCGACATTTTTTACCAGAATTTTATCCGAAACTTCTGCAGTGTAATGTGCTTTAATGTATATAGCTAATTAATTTTAATTTTCATTACAATGTGAAATGTAAATATGATTTTTAAATTACCTTTGAGTATTATATTAAATATAGTTTTAATAAAAATTAATAGAATCTATAGATATAAGACAAAAAAGTAAAAATATCGAAGGCAAAATACTCAATCGTTAGTAACTGTACTGAGGAATAAGATTTTTGATCGCAAAACATGAAGTAACCCCATTAAATCCCCATTAGTTTTGATATATCTATACTTTTTAGTCACTCTTAAAGTTTTATGAGTTTTAGAATAATAATCGTACATAATTTGACAAAAATTTTAAATTATCTATGTCTACAATTTAGGCTCAACCCATCCCATACCAATATGGATACGACATTGCTGGTGACCACGGTGAATTCAAACAGACCAGACAAGAGCAAGGAGATGGACACGGAAATGTTCAAGGAAGCTACAGCTACGTTGATGCCCATGGAATCCAAAGACAAGTTGACTACGTAGCTGATGGACATGGTTTCCGTGCCTCCGTAAAGACCAATGAACCAGGAACCGAAAGCCAAAACCCCGCTGATGTTGAACTCCATGCCCAACCTGCTCAAGTACACCAACCAGCCTACTCTGCACCAAGATACGCTGCCGCCCCAGCCCCACACTACGGAGGATACGGACACTACTAAAAAGGTACCTTTTCTTTTTTAATTTATATGTCAATTTGTTCAAAATATATCAAAAACTAGTAAATGCATAAAAATGTCATTGTGACATATATGGAAATCATAAAAAAAGAGTTAATAGAGTTAAAAGAGTTAAAAGAGTTAGAGTCCACTATTAAATAGGTATGAACACATAATATATATAGGTATATAATAGGTATAGGTATAGAAACGCAAACATTTTATTAAAGATTTCGATGCAAAATTTATTTATTGTTAACATGAGGTGTTTGACTAAACGGTCTTAATGTAAACAACCGTTACTGGTGCATTAATTTAGAATTCAAACTTATGATATTAGTGCTTAATTTAAATTTATTATTTATTTTAAAATTAATTTTAGCAGTCGGTTTTTTATTAAAGATAAAAAAGAGTTTCTGATGAGATTCCAGGGGTCCCACATTACTATAAAACAACTCAACTCAACTTTCGCACGAAGAAATAGTTGTAAGTTCGTACTACTAGACTAATTTCAGTTCTGACAATGAGAGAACGTGATAATTAAACAATTTTACCGAACAGATGTTTTTCTAATTTAGCAATTTATACAATTAAGAAAATGATGATTATTTTTCTACACTTATTCAATAAAACCATTATTTTTGTAAAAGTTCAATCTGAAATTCATTAATAATTTAATTAAATGCTTGTTTATTTAAATTTTTTATGTCATGAGTTATATTTAAAGTTGATTATATATTTACTTGAGTTTATATCAGCTGATTGTATTTTTTGCACAATAATTTCAATTCATTCAATCTTTACAGAAAGTGCCAAAAATTGAGTAAATTTTACATAAATTGATTAAGTTTCATTTCAGTTGATAAAATTTTACATAAAAATATTTAATTCTATTAATCTTTTTTAATTAAATATTAAATTGCTTTTATTCAATAGTATTTAACCTTCGAACTAAAGTTATGTAATATGTTGAATTTATTATTTTTCTTGAATTTACTGAGACTATTCAAATTTTTTCAAATATTTAATGGAAAATTTTAGGTAAAATCACAATAATTCGTTCTTAATACCATTTAAAGTTGATATCTCATGTATTCAATTTAATTGATGCATTCAATTAAATCTGATTAGGTTTACTCATGCTACTTTCAAAATTGAATGATTATTTTGCCAGAAAAAAACATGCAAAAAGAAAATATGATTAAAATACGTGGTTTCACTTATAGCAATTTTAGTGTTTTAACAATTATAGAAAAATATTCCCTCCTCTTACTAAAATTCTTATAGCATTGCTAAATATCATGCGAAAGCTTAACAATAAGCATATTAAAGCAATATGAAAAACAGAATCATTAGACAAAATCTGTATTTTAAACAAGAGAAATATTCCTTCGATATTCTTTTTAATTATTACAGTATTGTTTAACATTTGAGAGTTCTAAAATGGAATATTATTTGAGTTTTATTGTAAAATATTTCTAATAATAATATTTTTTTCATTTCAGATAAATCATCTAGGATTTTACAATTTACAAAAGAATTTATTGCTACTCTAAAATAGAATCATTTATTATAGAATTTCTCATGTATGATCAACATTTCTATTTATTACATGAAGCCTAATCCTTCGTTTCTAATCCACTTCAGGAATTAATTATTTAATTTTGTATGAAAATAAAAACAGCTTTATGGCTTATCACATGATTTTGTAAATATTTAGTTCAATAAATTAATTTATTTTTAATTGTGTCATATATTTATTCACTATACTATTTAGCAATAGAATTCATCCTGTAATTTATTAGGTTTCACACATTTCGAGACATTTTAGATGATTTGAGGCTATCAGCCTTAAAATTTATAAAATATACATGTTTTCCATAAAACAAAATCCGGTTACTTAAAATAATATATTCAAATATGGAGCATTCAAAATAATATTTCTATAATTAAAATAAGTCACAACATATTCTTCAACACAACTTCCATTTATTGTGATCTTCCTATTACTTTCGCAATAAAGAAAATATTTATTTTCGTGTTTTAATACTTTTATAACGAAAGCGATTACAATGTACGCAAAGATAATTTAAAAAATATTGTCTTTTTTTTAAAGCAATTTTAAATTTTTTTAACATATAACTTTCAATTTAAACTGTTCTAAAATATTGATAAAAAATGTTTTTAAGCATTAATTATATTTTGTGGATGTAACAACATTGCTATATTATTAAATTTTGCTCAAATAATTATAAAAATATTTATAATTTAACCGTTAAACTGCATTTTATGTCGATAGTACATAATATTAGTTAAACTGTTGAAGGGATAAAGTAAGATATTCTAGCTTTATTTTACTACTTTTCCCTTCAGAGTAAAAGAAGTGTAATAAATGCTGCATTCAGGTTTCAAAAAAGTTCTTGAAAATAAGAAGTAATTTTGAAAAATTTTTCATGATGGACACGGTTAATGGTTTACGTCAGTTGGAAACGAAGTGGAAAACATTTTGATCATTTTGAGAATATTTAATATATAAATGATATAATATATAGCTCTACCTTAAGTATATTTTCCTTGAATTTTTAACAATTATGCTTTAAAAAAAGTTGGTTTTACATTGTTTAGAATTATAATTTTTCAAAATAATTAGAATATTTCTGAGAAAAGAACTTAAATAGTCTAAAAACTCCTACAATCTAAATATATCTTAGTAAAAGAACGAATTTTTTTAATGTAATGCTTTTGCAAATTCAATAATTAAGGTAAAGAATAATAAATGCATTAATACTAAGCCAACAAACAAGTTATTAAAATAACAAAGCAGTAAAAAATTCTCAAGCTTCTGATGGCAGCTACTTTACAACAAACTGGTGCTTCACTATGTGTTCCATTACACCAGCGATTCTCAACCTGTGGGGCGCGCCCTCCTAGGGGGGCGCTAGCCCACTTGAGGGGTGGCGCGAGAATACCCAAGAGAAAATATTCTTTTAAAATATTAATTAACTGGATGGAGGGAAAGCGCACATACACACAGAAAACGAAATACATTTCGACATATTTAATAACTTATATTAAAGTATAACAACTTATTAAATCAAAACTTAAGGTGGGGAGCCAAAGGTGGCTTTGCTTTGAGGATTTTTTCTAATTTTCTGGCTGTGTGGCTGAAATTTTTTTGTAACATCTTACAACTATCTCTAGTACATATCACGTATACTTTTAATTAAAAAATAAAATTTCATTTATTTTATAGTACAATTTCAAAATGGTAGCTTCTGCTCCTAAGGTTTCCCGCATGTTCCAAAGGTGAGCCATATATTGAAATCACTTTTTCACTTACTCAAATTATCTTTAGAAAAGACACTTGGACTGGCAAACTTTTAAAAAGGTACTTTAAGTGTCTTTCGCTGGTGGGGACAAGTCTTACGGACTATAAAAAATGATATTTGATTTTAGAGTGTACATAAATATTTTACAGTGATATAGTTCTTGTGTGAAGTCACTAGCGATTCTCTTGAGTAAACTCATTAGAGTAAATCAAGAATTACTGATTTCATTGTGTCAAAAGGGTTAACTAACCATAACTAATAAGTAAGAGTTAAATAACCATACAAGAGTTAACTAACCTAACCCATAACTATAAAAATAGCCTAATTTACAAGAAAATACCAAAATCTATCACAAACACACTCATAACTACCACAAAAATTCTAAAAAATACTTGAAAAATCACTTTAAAATGTAATTAAAACAAAAAATTTGAAGCAAAGTATCGCAAACTCTGCTAAAGAACAGAACGTCAAAATATTACAAACATTTAAAAAATACTGAAGTTCCACGTTTGCTTAAAATGAAATAAATCAATTGGAATTCAATTAAATCATTCCTTTTTGATAAATAATATACTACGCAATGATTTATGATGAACTCTTTTATAGATTTCATGTTTGTTTCCGTTGGTGGCCCACGTGTCCGCCGCCTTTGTCTGGCCACCTTAGGAACATGCATAGGGTCACCATTTACACGACTTAGAACTACTAATCTGATAGATTAATTCGAATTTAAGTAATGTGGTTAAATAAAAAGAAATAAGGTCTCAGAAAACGCATTTTAACTCAAAGTTCTAAGAATTTAAACATATATAAATTACAATATCTTTTTATATACCCGGAAATTAGAACGACAACTGCAAAAAATAAAATCACTTCATAGAACGGAGGTCATTGAAGGAAATATCTTCCAATTCAGCCACGTGCACCTCAGATACAAGATATACAATGCAGCAAGGCCATCTTGTGATTCGAAATAAATTTAATTCTACTTTTGGGGGATGAGCTACGTTAGGAGCACTAACCACCTTTGGTTCACCCACCTTACTTAACACGTTCACACCGGGAGAAGTGAAAATACTGATACGAGAAAAGAGAAAATAAGAAGAACTATTTCAATATTAGATAATATTCGGGAGGAGTTAATCTATTCTCAACAATAACAATTCACTGTAAGGAAATTTATCGCGGCGAAGAAGCAATTCAATATAAAAATTGCATCCGTTAAAAACAATTGGTAGTTATAATTTTTTATTATTCCCGGAAAAAAAACTACAAAATGAAATTTATTGTTACCAGTTTTTACTCCGAAGCGCTGCCAATATGAGACAATCTAGCATGACCCACCGATGGGTCACCTCGGCGTGAACGTGTTAATTAAAACATACTAAATTAAAAACAAATTTAATAATTATTAGTGTCTTCCTTGGGCCTGTCTTGCAGAGCAAAGTTTTTCGAGGTAAGGCTTAATATTAGAAATAGCCACTCTCAGTTCTGTTTCTATATTTAGCCGAGATCTATATTTTGTCTTCAAAGAAGCGACAGCAGAAAATCCTGTTTCACAAAAGTAGGATGTTAAAATGGTAATAAATACAAAATGCCCTTGTTTTTAGTGCAGAAAATCATCCTCTACTCCAGCCCGAAATTCAAATAGTGATTTATTACTAAATT